TGATATCTCACTCGTTCGCTGCGCTCACTCGTGAGATATCATGTTCAACACTCGAAATAAATCTGGTATTTCAGCGCACCCATGTATTATTCTCTATAAAATGCGGATAATATAGCCTTGCGAAGTTTACAATTTTCAGTCATTTTAGATTGCAAACGGGAAATTGACAGCCCAATACCCTTTGGGGAGGTCACAATGCAATGGTCATGCAATGCTTGGTTACTCTGACACTACCCAGCTTACAGATGTGCATGCATCGTCAACATACTGTGCAGATGTTTCAACTCTCCCACTGAGAGCATTTATCTAATGATATAAATCGACTTATTAACATTTAAAGTTAATTATAACCGTTTACGCAAACTTAGTTGATATTTTAAAATTTGTTTTCTTATAAATAATGTTGATGCAGTGCCCATAGGGGACAAATTTCCAACTCATCCTCCGGAAAGGTTGAGCTGCTGGAAGAAACCAAACGGTTGTTATAGCCAAAATATAATAATACATCACATGAAAATGGATTGGGGCTTCTGGATTAACAGAAATGTATTTCTATTAAAACAAGATTGCTGATTTACAAGATTGTGTGGATATATTACATATCTACAGAATCTGCCATGTATTATTAAATTACCGCGTACTTGTTTCCCGGCAATATGTCAATTATTACATATCTTATGTACAATATTAAACCTAACAAGTTATTGGACAATGATGACCAACAATGGACATTACCTGTACATGCTAAATAAATACGAAATATCTACATATTGGACAAAAACCCCTATGGTAACACTTGTTTACCAAACGGAAAATACAGTAGACTATCATTGGAAAGAATATGAAAACTTGCAACAAACTAGTCATATCACGTTAAAAGACATATGTTTGTTCTTCCTAATTGTGTTCTTTTTTATTTATTTATTTTATTTATTTAGCTTTGCCAACTAGGGCAGGGTCACCACAACAGCATATGCCAATTACTGTGGGCCCTTTTTTTACCTAACCCACCCTTGTCAACTTTCCCTGTGGGAGGAAACCGGAGTACCCGGGGAAAACCCACGGCTTTCGGCAGAGCGTTGACTTTTACTCTTTTCACATGGGGACTGGGTTCGAGTCGCACTGAGAAGGTACTTAGTGAGACTCGAACGTGCAGCCTCAGAGGTGAAAGGCAAGTGCGCTAACCACTTGGCCACGTTTTGACAAGTGAAGACGGTTGAAAACATAATTGCCATTGGTAGGCCTACCATTACAATCACATGTATGAAAATTCGAAGTACACTTTACAGTATATACTTAGTATAATTGTTGCTTGTTGTAATTTCGATATTTTTAAGCAAAATAAATTCATATTCATATACAGTGTGTGTATAAGGCAATTTAAATAAATTAAGTTTATTGGTATAATCAATCGCTGGTCGTAAGGCAGCACTTGCCAGCGAATGGAAACTTTTAGTAATAATTAAAAGGGAATAATTACCTGGTTGAAATGGCGATTAACGCGCTTACAATTACAATCTTTCAACAGCTGATTGCTGACAAAGTCTTTCAAAATTGGCAGGAAAAATCTTTAAAAGCCTTTGAGTTATTTTGGTCTTCGAGACTACGGATTCCGAAATTTTGTTGTTGTTTTAGGTTGGGTTGATGGATTGTCTGCAGCTGGTGGTGGCGATACGCCTGACGCAGTGGCTGATGGTCTACATGAAGCCCTTAATCTCACATACAGACCGCGAGCCACAAAGATATGTGTCTGGATTGGTAAGTTTGTTATGTGCATGGCAGTGCGCTATTACTGAAGTCCTAAGACTTTACCTGGTTGAAATGGCGCTTATAATTATTGTAATCTTTCAACAGCTGATTTGATGGGGGTTCCTTTTCATATTGCGCCTGTATCTCTTTTGAGATTCGCCGCCTGCGGGCAAGGGGACAAGAAACCAGTAAAGAGTGTTTTTGAGCCAGTAACGATTTAATTTCTACTGCATGAGTATATATATGTGCCTGCATGTTAAAGAACAATTTCGGCCTGTCGCTAAAAAAGTAGTTCTTTTACTTTAACATCATGCCGTTTTTACTTTTTTCAGGAGATGCTCAACCTCATGGCCTGCATCCAGATCATGACGACGAAATTCCCGACGGCTGTCCAAGCAATCACGACCCAGTTCAAATATGTCATGAAATGGCTGCGAAGGGTATTATCTTGTGTTGTGTTGGATGTGAGCCAACGCTTCGTCCGTATAGAGATTTTTTTATGGGGCTTAGTCTTATTACTGGTGGGCAGTACATTCCTCTTGAACATGCCGATTGTCTTCCACGGGTGAGTAAAACATTGAACTAGTTGCCTGATTTATATGTAGAAAATGTGCCACTTCGTTAAAAACATAATTGGCAGTGCAAATGCAGTCTTGAAAAAAATTCTTGCAGAGGTTGAACGTTCCTGAAAAATCCTGCAGAGACAAACCATAGTTATATAATGATGGTGAAGGCTGTCAAGACTGAAAATGAAATGTCTGAATGCAGTGTTTTAAATTTTGGTGTATTGAAGAACGTTTTTGGACTTTTATGCGCCACTATACAAGCAGTTTCGCGTTTGTTGTCAATTTAATTTCACTGTTTCAGTTTACAGTCGAGATTTAATTGAGCTTGGAATTGAGTGTGCACGCTTCACGAAACATTAGGGTATATACACGCTTTTTAGTGCAAAGATGCTTTGCACTATTGTTAATAATGCCTCAGGCTCTGTGATTACCGTGAATATTCACCTCGACTTCGTCTCGGTGAATATTCACCGGTAATCACTTCGCCTTCGGCAAATAATTAATTGTTAATAGTTGAGGACCTGTATATGAGTTTGTATCCATTTTATTTAGAAAAGATAATCTCAACTGTTTTGGGGCAAGTTGACCATGACGGTCAACATGGTAATACTGCCCGAACCCCAATCCGGGGCGAAACGTCCGAAACTGACCACACCCAAAAACGACGCTTTCACCATACTCCTATCTACCAAACCATAAAAGCTTTGGCTATTCTGAGGTGCTTATATGGTTCAGACATGGTACTTTTAGGGGTGGTCATTGGTAAGTGTGAAATGCCTAGCACTGATATTTCACAAGAAAATGACCATGCAATACTCATAGTCAAACGTCAATTTGTGACTTACAAATTCAGATAAACAGCAGTGGACCTACATTACCTTTTTTCCTAAATCTTTTTTTATAGAAACATAATTGGTACTTATTTATGTATATTATCACTGCTTTGGTGTAAAATAGTTGATACTTTGTGACCGAAATAATAATTCTATATCTACCTACCTCCTGCAAGTGGACATATTTAGCCAAATTCTCCACTTTACTCCGCTGTTTATCGCCGATCTCGTTGAAATCCTTCCAAATATGTACGTCAGCTCAGATATAATGGTATATCAAGCACATTTTAAATAAGTTTTAACTTGGTTTCAAGTAGATCATAGCTGTTTAACCATCGACAAGGTAAAACCTCAACTTTGTCCAAATTCGGCGCCATTTTGTCATCCCATGTCGGTGTCAACAATTCGACCTTGTTATTCTTCCATCCAAGCCATTTCCATTGCACTAATAACAAATTTAACCCTTTATGAGGGTACGTAGAAAACTGAAAAATTTAAACAAAATATAAGAAATGCAGCATTTTATCACCCTGTAAAATGTAGCCTGCGTGCAGGCCCAAGGGAACTGATAGTGGGCCTGCAATCATCACCCCATGTTTTCGATTTTCGCCGGCCGAACCGCCGGCTAAATTCCCATCTGCTAGCTGAGGCGATCGGTAATTAATTAACCTAGCCCGCGTGAAGGCCCAAGGGAACAGTGATTCATCACAAAGGCATAGACCAGGCTCTCGATAAGCTTAAAATTTGAAAATTGATCACTTTTTTCGATTACAAATGGAACAAAAACAGACTGTTTATTGTTTACTTGAAGGAAGACATGTTTTTGCCGTTATGCCAATGGGGATTGCTTGTCGTGAGGTGTTGGAATAGCAAATTACGACTGGGGTAAACTATAGTAACCTTTACTTGAGTTTCATTAATTTCAAACAGACTTCAGTTGATACGTTATGTGTTCTCACTTCCTCAACTCAAGAAGATTATCTTTTGGTTGATGTTGAGATGCAGTTGCATGTAAGGACTGTAAGCCTATTCGAAACACTTTGCGATTTACAAGGCTTCGCTGAGAGAGCGAAACAGAAGACGGTATTAAATTGCCGTTTGAAACGAAACGATCTGGACTTGGAACGCTCTCTTCTTTTGTAGAGTTCTTTACCAAATGAAATAAATTTCGTACTTTCCGCCGCCAACAAGAATTGCACACACGATCTGATAAGTGAGACAATTTATTTATAACAATGCCAATGGCGACAGCGAAGCACACATAATATAAATCCTAATGTGGTCGCACGACTTCCCTCATGATTTGAAGTTTGAGACTGGTTTTCTGTTGAAATTCGTCCTAATTTGCCTGTTCCGATTTTAGTTGAAAATGAGCACTTGCAAATTTGGCAATTACTGACTGCGTTGCTTGCTTTTTTTGAGTTAAAACGCAGCCATTTACACATTGTTTATTAGCGTTCTGAATAAGCAGAGAAAACCCTGCAACATTTTAATGCGAGTTTGTTTGTTAATATTTGGGTGCAAATATTGGTTCTTTGGTTCATTGGTTCTTTTTTGACAATTGACGCGCGAATGGGGCGTGTTATGAAAAGGGGCGTTTTACAAAATACCGGGCGATGGTTGCAGGCCCACTATCAGTTCCCTTGGGCCTGCACGCAGGCTACCATGGTTGGTGCCGAGTGGAAAGTTTTGAGCATGACGGTCAACATGGTAACGCTGCCCGAACCCCAATCCGGGGCGAAACGTCCGAAACTGACCACACCCAAAAACGACGCCTTCGCCATACTGCTATCTACCAAACCATAAAAGCTTTGGCTATTCTGAAGTGCTTATATGGTTCACAGATGGTACTTTTGGGGGTGGTCATTGGTAAGTGTGAAATGCCTAGCACTAATATTTCACAAGAAAATGGCCATGCAATAATCATAGTTAAATGTCAATTTGTGGCTTGCAAATTCAGATAAACAGCAGTGGACTTACATAACCTTTTTCCCTAAATCTTTTTGATAGAAACATAAATGGTACTTATTTAAATATATTATCACTGGTTTGGTGTAAAATAGTTAATATTTTCTGACCGAAATAATAATTCGAATGTGCCTACCTCCTGCAAATGGACGTATTTGGCCAAGTTCTCCACTTTACTCCGCTGTTTATCGGCGATCTCGTCGACATCCTACAGAAAATGTAAATCATCTCAGACATAATGGTATCAAGAACATTTTAAACAAGTTTCAACTTGGTTTCAAGTAGATCATACCTGTTTAACCATCGACAAGGTAAATCCACAACTTTGTCCAAATTCGGCGCCATTTTGTCATCCCATGTCGCTTGTTAACAATTCAGCCTTGTTACTCTTCCATCCAAGCCATTTCTATTCCACTAATAATAAATTTAACCCTTTATAACAGGAGGAAACTAAAAAATCTAAACAAAATATAAGAAATACGCCATTTTATCACCATGTAAAATTTTGCTCACGAGTCTTTCAAAACATTCCGTACAAATATCGCGTGACAAAGTAACAGGGACGTGACAGGAGGGGGTGAATTATTTCACGAAGACAGAAGAAG